GGGGGTGGGTGGGGGAGGAGGGGGAGAAAAAAAAGATAACACGTCCGAAAATGATCGAACTCGATCGAACGCGCCGAGTAGCCTCGTTCCGTGGAGTGCATCGAACAGACACGCTGAATGATTAATGCACTCGGGCAAATACTTTCAGCGCATGAGGTTTGCCGTGCAGCAGTTACCACCGCCGCGCTGTCTGCCGGTGCAGCCGTTGCCGTTGCACGCGATGCACTCGGGCGCGCCATTAGGACACGATTGATCACGTGTATTTGTAACTGCTCAAACGTTACCCGCCGAGTGATCAATCGTGCAACCAACCCTTCGACAGGACCGACCGACCGACCGACCGACCGGTCGAATTCCGAAGTACCCTGCTGCTCGCGCGACCCTCGCTCCAACAGTCAATGATCTTCTTGAGCGGCGATGCGGAAACTGCGGAACACCCTGAGAAGAGGGTCATGCGAGGGAATTTCCAGCCGAGTTCTGAAGAGCTTTATCTTCGAGAGAGAGAGAGAGAGAGAGAGAAAGAGAGAGAGAGGGGGAGAGAGAGAGAAAGGATAATAAATTTTCTGATATCTATCAAAACCAATGAAAAATAGCGCTATAATTTTTAATAATGAATACAAAATTCTATCGATATGTTCATTCAAAGAGAAACATGCGATTCTGTAAAGAAATTTTTTTTCAATTTTACGATAATAATACCTTTAAAAAAATATGCCGTATCACGTAGAAAATTTAGCTCTGAAAAAAAAAATACGGCAAATTTTATTCAATTTAAAAATAATTTGTTTGTTTGAAAAATAAAATGCTAATTATAGAGGTGTGAAATAATACATAAGTTACGTTTCAGACATATAAATAATGCAAAAATAATAAAATCTATTACTGTTTATATTTTTGATGAAATAATTTCAAATTATTTCGATTGAATTATTTTAATAAATCGCCCGAATATCTTTAGTAAAACAAAACAGGAGAGACTACTGCAATGTTTTGAAAATAATTAGAATACTATTGTTTCCCGATAATGCCGGCAGTATTTATGACATAATTCTCTCTTTTGAATTAATCAACACGCTTGAAAAATTTTAAAATTAAAATAGCGAACAACGCATTATCGATTAAATATATATATTTTCATGCAAGAGAAAGCGTTTGAACACGAAGGAAAGTGTTACTGTACACAACAAGATTCTATATATGTCCGCTGGGAATATAATTCTTAGAGAACGACGTATCTCACTTCGACTCGCTCGATCGTTTCCTTTTCGCAAACGCGGTTAACATAAATTATCGGGCCAACTATTCGCGCGAAAGTCTCCTTGCTGATGAACTCGTCGACTCGTGCGAGCCGACATGAAGGTCGCAAACGGCTACGCGATTAATAAGAACGGAAGAAGAATATTTTAAAAATGCAAACGTGGTACGCGCGAATAATAAATATCTGGTTGCTGTAACCGAGAGTAAAACACGAGGGACGAGAAGAAAGTAGGTGGCAACAGATTTACGACGAGCAGGTTTAAGTGAAGAGGGAAACAGAAAAGAAGTAGGAGCATAAAAATACAGGGAGAACGAATGTAAAAGCGAGAAAAGAGGTGGAGAAAGTGGCGGGAAGGTGAATGTAAAGAAAGAGGGAGAAAAAGTTATGAGAGGGAAAAAAAGAGACGAAAAGACAGAGAAAGTAAATGAGTGAAGAAATGAATGAACAAATACTGAGCGATCTGTATCTTGAGAATGTAAGAAAAAGAATAAAACAGAATCATCCGCGTATCATACGACGAAACGTTTCTAGAAAAGATTAAATCAACATCTACAAGATGGACTCCATTAAGTAGACATGATTACTACATGGACTAACGACGTTTAATTAAAAAAAAAAACAAAGGAATTGATGAAAATGAGAGAGAAGCGTACAACGCGTAATGAAATGAAACTTAATATGTGGAGATCGAGCAAATAAACTGAAAACGATTGCAAAATATAGGAACGTCAAATTCTCGCAAAGCTGGTGAAATAAGCACGCGGCGTTTTACTGCATTATTCGCAATCAGCGTTAGTCGTTATGTATGTGTGTGTGTGTGTGTGTGTGTA